GTGTTTCAAGTGTTCACGCTGTAAAGAATTGTCCCAGTTTTTATGCAAGCCAATGAAGCGTGTTCGCGGTCTCAGCATTTTAAAAAAATTCCAAGCAAATTTACAGCCATTATTATGCCGGTTCCTGTCCATAAACGCTCCAAAACGCCGACTCAGGCGGGGCCATAAAAAATTGTTTTTGGTTCTACGTGACATAGACCATGAAATTTGAATAAAAGTTTGATAGATTTTTTATTCATTTAGATAAATTTCAAAATACCGCATCGTGAAGCTTAAGTGTTCTACTTAATCCTGGATATACCTACCTTCTTCCAAAATTTCCGCTACAGTTGAAATAACAGCAAACATTGCGATCTTCATATAGTCTTAGCTGAAGTGCAGATATTTACTGCTGCTTGATAGCAACCGAGGTAAGGTTTAATATATTTATCACAATAATTTAAAAAAATTACGTCGCCGAGATTCCATACGTTATATGAGGCTTCATCCGTGAGTAGATTTATCATGTGACACACATTCTGTGTTTTTTTCCAAAGTCGCAAATATGCGCGCTGAAGGGAGACAGCGCTCTACGTACACTGTTAGAAAAAACGGTGAAAAAACGGTCCCACTGGCGTTCTAGTGGCCGGTCGCCCCGTGAAAATAAACTTTCGCTGTTTTTATCAGATGTTTTACGGATTTCTTGTGTTAAATTAGAATATAAACGGCGACACGGTGTTTCTTTTCACGTGCCGACAGGCCACTGAAACGCCGGTAATACCGTTAACGGTAATATTTCTAACAGTCTATGGTCCAAATATGATCCTAAAGATAAGGATCAATTGAGCAACGCCACAGTGGATCGATGGCTTGCATTTGCTATAGAAGCTTCAAGGACTTGCAAGCTGCGCCCCTAATGCCGAGCCACGGCGTCATCTCGGCTGACAAGAGCTGCTATCGGATGTCTCTGCTCCCCAAAGATAGCAATAGATGACCTCACTATGTTAGGATCATCCATTTATCCATGCAGCGCATCAACACCACTCCACGTATCACCTTTTGCATCACGCTCGAGTATCGCGAACACTCGGGTACCTAATGACGTAGAATTTAACGCAAAGTTAAATCGCTGCAGTTATCGCTGAAGATAGATTTTTTCTACTGTTTTTAACATAAGCAATATTTTCGACTATACTATTGAGAGATTTAAGTATTATTCGTTTGGATTTTTTTCAATCGCAATTGCCGAACTGTATAGATGACTTCATGACTTACGTATTTGCAACGATGGAACTGTTAGCAGCCGCATATTACATTGATTGGTTTAATGTTTAGGCGAGACGGGCCAAACGTGTTACAAGCGCGCAATATTTGAGGTCAAGATCGATTTGGACAAACTTACGGGCGAAGACCATAAACATCTGTAAATAAACATAAACATCGGCAGCATCTTGGCCACACGAAACATGTTCATTATGGAATTTATATGCCGGTAATTATATTAAGAACAAGGTGCCAGGTGCCAGAAATCATATACCTTAGATTTGTTTGTTAGTTGTTATACAGAAAATTTGTTTTGTTATCAGAGCTTTTGTAGCACGTACATACATTAAATTGTTTATTTCAACACGGGTGGTTAATGGCCAGAGAATTCGTCAATTTAAATTTTCAGGGTCGAACAATATTCTTCAGATGACATTAGTAAATCCAAATGCAGGTTCAAGGGAGTAATATCAATTTATTAACGACGTTTCGAATGTAACAACATTCATTTTCAAGTTACGGAAGCATTGAATACAGAAATTTTGATGGAAATAAGTAGGTACATGATACAAGTAAATAGGATACAACAAGAAAATTTTAAATAAAATAAATTTAAATACAACAAGAATAAAAAAAATTGTTTATCAATACAATTGGGAATTTGAGAGAGGAGTGTTATAAACAATTAGTAAACATTGCTGAAATATGAGGTTATTGTCCTCAATTGTATGTACACTAGTAACGTAGAGGCAGTCACTAATGCCTCACATTATTCGGATAAGAATTTACGTGCATAATACTGTGGTCAAATGCACGATCACCAGCGCATCCAGTCTCCTACAAAAAGAAACTGACGGTGAAGAAGAGTGGTTAGAATTTTCCCGCGGCTTGCGTTCTTATCCTTCCGCGCACTGAACTGCAAAATGGACCATATTCCAGAGCAGTCTTATCTCGTGAACACAGGCGAGAGCTTATATAATTATACTTCAATATGGAACGCGATTGTTATTACCGACCTTGCTTAATTATAATGTTTGTTTGTGGTTCATGTGGCTACTAGTTTGTCAACCGCTACAAAACGGACGTACATGTTTTCTCGTAGTATCTGATACTCATACGTCATAACCCTATAACATGTGTCTAAGAATAACAATTAACGAAATAACAAAGTGCATTTTGCTGCAGGTTAAATCCAATGAAGGCTACAACGGAAAGTGAGAAATGCTTGGAGAGAAAGTGATGTTGCAGCGCCTCTACATGGTGCGAATGAATTCTTTACTGGGCGCATGAATGTGGCTCTCTATAATAACGTAAAGGGTAAGGAATCTCAGACAAATTAAGACGGGGAAGCTTCAAACACATTTTTGTTGAATGCATCGCATGCAATCAGCTCTGCAGGTCAAATGCTGCGGCGACACATGCCATGAAAATGGGAGGAATGCAATGCAGGTGCAAGTCTCATTCATGACTATTTTTTTCAATTTGAAATATTTTTTTACAATTATACCCATAGTGAGCTCCAATTCGCACTTCGTTTAATTACTTTGATCATTAAAACATTTTTTCAAAGTACCTCTTTATCATGGCATGCATTATCAAGATTTATCAATAATGAATAACGTCTTAACTTATATTGCTTTTTAACGAAGATATCGGCCCTGGATCTCACTCAACGCCTCAACGATGAGATTCCTTATAGTAACTGCACAACTTTAGCAATGAAAACTCGCAAAGGCGTCCAAGTGGATGTTTACAGCACCGTGTCTGTCGACTGACGGGCGCTCATTAGATTACACGAGATTGCCGTGTTACAGCTCGTGGTGTTATCGTTTAAAACATCGCTTTGAAATTAGCTTAGTTGCCCGCCATAGATTTGCCTGGATAATCATTATGAAATTATTATATATATGTGATGAACGAAAATTTCATTGAAATAAATATAATTTTGTGGAAACTAGTGGAGCGTAAAATTGAACAGCTGGTGCAATGAAATAGGTCAGAGTAACAGTGTCTTAGTCCCGCTGTGCCATTCGGTCCTAGTAAGTGACAGTGAACGGCGGCTTGTGCACCGGAATTAGCATACCATTTGTATCACTTGTCTCCTGTAGCCCAATACTCCTGAGCTTTGAATGCGAGGTGTACTGTAACGATGTCGTTCCCCATCACTTCCCCAATCATTTCGAGGAACATTAATAACTGACAACTGTCGGTATATTCCCACAGGAGTGTGAAGGCATTCTAAATAAAGTTGTATCCATCACACGTACAAAGAACAACGATTTAAGTTCAAATGTAGTGCGGTGGTAAGCTTTAAATCTTGAAAATACCAGCAATATTTCACGAAATCTAACAGTAGAAATCCAGAGGTTTATCGTTCAAGTGCAGAACCATTACCAATGCATATCATCAATCATCGGGTTCGTTCAATCAAGCTATGGTTAGAAGTGTTCTCTAAATATTTGCACATTCTGACTCCAATTCGTGGCAAAATGTAATTTTTTACCCTTGTGCAGAGTTAGCTTGAGTAAATTGATCTGAACTGCGCAATTCATTTTTTATTTTCATCCGAAATCGCGCAGTCGATGTTCTTCTACATTGCTGGCTTGATTTTTTCTGGTTAATAGTTTAGAAAGTATCCAAACTATACCATGCTATTTTCTCTCGCCCACGCATTTCTAAACGAGCAAAATCAATATTAATCACATGTCGCGATAAGCAGCTCTCAAATTACCCCAATAAATAAGTCGTTTAAGATCACAACAACATGCGGAAGTGACAATTTGGTTCCGTGGCGGAGTTTTTTTTAGCGAGGCGAGACGTTTAACACTGGGAACCGGTATCGCGATGGTCGCCCGCGGGCAATTGACCTAAAGTATGAATATCTCGCCTCGCCCTGCGAGACGTGCTGTTTGTATGGAGGGGGAGGCATACCAAGCTAAATCTTTACCGTGAAAATATTCATGTAATCATGAGTTATTATAAATTATTATTATTGTGCTAACTTATGATCAGTTTTTCGATGTCCAAATTTCCCCTTGACTTGCCTGATTTGATTAAATAAATATCGACTTCATTCGTTTAGGTAAATGCCCGTTTTACTTGAAATATACCTCATAATATACTATACATTAATTATATATCGGTATTGTTGAATGGCACAAGCTTTCACAGAATTTATATTTATACCACTTTATGGATCGTAAACAATAATTGATTAACAAACTATAATTATTACTCACGTAAACGAAAGTGAAAGCGTGAGTAGTTAATCGAATACAGTATTGTTATCACCGAAAATGATGTAAGAAACTTAAGTTATGAATCCAAATTATTAATATGATGAAAATATGAAAAACAATATCCTCCTATTCCATTCGAATACAGTGAGGCTCTGAAAATCGTCTCCAGAAATGTTCTTTTCTTCTGGAACACAAAGCTGGCAACACGCACACAGCAGTTGCGATGAACCCATGAAGGGCGAAGAAAGGGACTGGGACTCCTGAATTGTCAATTAGCGGAAAAAGTGGTTCAACATTTATTAGGAAGGAGTAAATAGCTTAAAAAGTTCGTGAAGCAAAATTATAGAAAATTCGCTCAATTTTAAATCACATCTTAAGAACAAATAGTTTAATTTAATTCTTGCGATTCACAATTCAGTTTTCTTATTTGCAAGCTTCAAACCAAATATTCTTAAAAAAAAATTTTTACCAGGAGTTGTCCGCAGGATAAAACCATAGTTGCACACAGAAACAACTTACAGTGAAGCGAAATATCAACAGGTCACAAAGATCACACACAGCAGTGAAATATATCCCAACCTTATACTCCTATGGTTCGTGGCTGTCTGAACTGCCAGGAGAGGCAACGTGAGCACTGTCACTCCAGCAAAGATGCTATTATGTGAGTGCAATTTTTTATACGGAATATAATGTAGATTTTTACAAATTATTGAAGAAGTATAGTGCTTAATTGATATCCTATTATTATTGATTATTCTTCTCAGGGGTAAATATCAGTATACTTCTATTTTCCCTAAACCTCTAGTAGATGGCGCTCTTGCGCATGTAAACAAATTTCTCCACCGAGCTAAAGGCCGAATAAATGTTATTGCTCCAATCTTTGACAGAGATCTGGCCGCTCAGGTGCTTTCCAGCCTTCTGGCCCCACAAGTATTCAACCAAATTATAAAAAAAATCGCTCCGATCATGCAATATTTCAACAGGGCCCAACAGGACTTGTTAGATTATTGAGTGTCAATGAGTGATACGTAGTTGATGAAGTTTAAGATAAGAACTGTCGGGTCACTCCTCACTCGGGTGTCGTGCTAGCCAGCCTGCCTACCAAGAATTCATTTGATAAAAATGAATGTCATACCGTCTGCCGAACATAGGCCATTAAAAAGGCCGAAATTGGGGCCTCCTGATGTTTATCCTCAAGATGCTAAACAGAGAGAAGTGAGTATAATTGTACATGTACTGAACTAATTACAAGAATAGAATAGAATAGAAGTGTCGGCGTTGAAGACATAGGCCCATGGCCTGTTGCCGATTCTTGAACTTTTCGTGACTTGATTCACAAGGGATCCGGCCTTTGGAACCCGATCTTTCCATAGCTCCTGCATAGCTTCGTCTAGTCTGTTTTTGAAGATGTTCATACTCGGAGCTTCAACGATGCTATCAGGGAGGCTGTTCCACATGTCGGTGACTCGAAGGGAGAAGAAATGTTGTCGCATGGATGTGTTCCAACGCTGTTTTTTTAGTTTATAGCCGTGGCCCCTGGTGTTGGTTCTTGTTTCAAATTCAAGTTATTTATTCTTCATTGATTAAATCACACTGTCACAACTCACAAGTGGTGCTTTGCCACTTTACCTTTGGGGCTTGGGCAAGATGCAAGTGGTCCTTTCAGTCCTTTGAAAGTTTGAAGTCACTCAAATTCTACTATGTCACAGAATCTAATGCATGTATCAGATATGTGCATTAGATCTGTGGCATTGTAGCCATCCAGAGATTTTTTCAATTAGCTCATTCATACTTAATACTTATCAATTTTAAAATTTATTTTTAGGACTGGTTTTCATCTAGGTACTCAAGATTTAAAGTAATATCTTGTTTATGGTAATACTGTTATGATGAGTGGTATCTATGATAGCTAGGTACTTTACTGGTTACTGGTCTACTTATAAAACTAAAAAATGACCTTGAGGAAGAGTCTAAGAGAAAGTCTGCTTTGCTGCTATGATCCTTAGACTAATATATTGATTTAAAAAGAATCCATGTAATTTTAAAATATAGGAACAGGATACGAACATTTAAATTTTCTCTGACTTTAGCTGATCCATTCGTTCATAACAAGAAAGATTAGAAATTTCCTACTTGATTCTAAAATTTTTTAGTGTCAAGGTGACATAATTTTGAAGTCCCAAAGAGGAAAATTTAGCAGTAGACTACCATGAAACAGAAGAAAAGACCAATAAATCTGGCCAATTTTACCTGCTCCTATTGCCATTATCAAATTTATTCAATGAAAAATATGGAAAACTGACTATTTTTACTACCATTTTAGAAAATCACTTATGAAAGTTTAAACAATCAATTCTACCATGAATTTAAGAAAACATCTGCCAATATTCAAACCTAATTGATGACTTTGGAATCTTATAGCTTGATTGTGCACTTTGGTTAGCTAAGAGACAGGTGACAAGTTAGATGCTTGAGGCTCTTCTCAGGGGCCTGTTTGTCTCTCCAAGACTGTACTAATTTTTATACTATTAGCACAATGTGGGGCAGCCCATACCCAGGATGGTGCCGTTTTCTGCAGATTAATCCGGCCTAAACGAGGCTCCAAGCCCTTCTACTGGCGTACAAAGAGCTAAAATAACATTGGCGCACACGCCCGGCGTATGTCCGCATCTGGCTTGTCCCGACGTACCGTACGTCTGCATCTGGCTTGTCTTGGCGTACGTCCGCATTTGGGTAATCTGGCTTGTCCCGACGTACGTCCTCATCTGGTTTTGAGCATTTTAGTGTATACTAATGCGTTTTATGGCAATTTAGGGCCTTCTAATGCGATCTAGTGTGTTCTGTTACAATCTAGTGCCTTCTAATGCGATCTAGTGCCTTCTAATGCGATCTAGTGCGTTCTATTACGATCTAGTGC